TTAGAGAAAGTAGTTTTAACATACGCGACATAGAATAATTAGGCGAGGTTTGTCGATGTAAATTTTGCTAAATAACAGATGGCAAATAAGAGTAGCCTTATTACTTGGAAGAAAAAAAAACATGCAATAGTAAGAGTAAAAAATTATGTTGTATACTTAGCCATTTCAATAAAACAAAGTGGTCGATGAACATGTATGAAAATCGGTGCAAAACCAAATAAAATCGAAGGCAAGTTTGGATAGAAACAACAATAGTGAAATTGATAATAATATCATCTACACACACATAACTATACACAACAAACAAACCATAAAGATTTTGAGAGTGTTCCATCCTCATTCTCCTGTACGGTTTACGTCCCCATTTTCCGTACAGTTTATTATCCCTAGGAATTTCGTGTTGTCTTTGTATGTTTCCTAGATCTTCCAGGTCGTTTATTTTAATCGGCCTACCTTCTGGTGACGTCTTCACGTAAATTTTGCCATTTAGGATCGATATCCTATTTCAGATCTGATCCAAAAGTCAATACCAACAGCACGTGACTCCCGCACAGACTTATCGACAAACTGATTGACTGACTACTGGAATGAATAAATGTCTCTTCAGTGCCCTTTTGATTTGTCACAGAGGTATTTTTTTAAGTTCCCCAGACTGCAATGTCGCAACCAAGAATCACATAAGATGGAGTTCCTTTTATTATCACTGAGAAGCGTGTGTATGATTACCATCAGGGCACTAACAGGCATGCAGCTGAGAAGCAACGAAGGAAAAATGCTAAGGTGACAAACACATGGTGTTTTTTGCTGCGGTTCTAAGAATAACAGCAAATTATTGTTTTCACAGTTCTAACTTTTTGAGAGGTCATGTACACGTGGGAATAAGATGGCGGGATTTTACTGGGGCAAGTCCCTCTAGGCTGACATCGCTGCTGATATGCAAAAAGAATGAAATGGAGAGCATAGAAGATTTCTGCTTTCAAAGAATAACAATGACCGTATTTTCTACTTCTGTTTCATAAACTATGATTGCATGGCAGAATTGCGTTCTCTAAAAAAAGGTCAATATGTTCTTGAAAAAGCGATTCCAAGGAGTGTTAGACTAATTTGGAGGGCAGTTGGTGATCATTTCCTTTAACATTTGATGTTTTCACATGTAACAGGATGATTAAACTGAAGATAGTCTCAAAAAGGAATGAACTCCACTGTAACAATTAGGTGACTAATTTGGAAACTTGAGCACTTGGTAAATAACCTTGGCTTGAGGTTCTGACGATTACAGTTTGCTGGAGTAATTGAAATGTCAGTCTCCACACAGGAACTTTCCACATGACCTGTTCAGTCATATGCAATGAGATAACTTTAGAAAAATTTAATTGTGTTGGTAGAACTATTGTAAGTACAGTACCACCTTGTGACAAAAATTAATGATTTCCTGTAAGCATTAAGGTTTGAGAGAGGTTATGGTGGTAATTGACCCTCTCTTTGCTAGGATGCATAGGGTGTAATGACTGTAATGTATATCTTTCAGCTTTAAAACTTTCAACTTTGTATAAATTGTAACTGTTTGCCATATGAACCCGACTTCCTTTGTCTGGAATTGTGTGATTATATAATTTCGCTGTGTAAGTTACCGCATTATAACATGTAATAGTGTTATTTAGATTGCATTAAATACTCTTTCTCAAGCTTTCATTAATGCATGGTATTTCTTATCAATGCTTATACCTAAACGAAACTTTGATATACGGAATTGGTTTCAAGATGCGGGAGTTTTAAAGGGCTAGAATCTGGAAAGGCAAGGATCCTCCTTTAGTTTGGACTGAAATCAATGGGGTCCTCCTTTTTTTAATTCATGTTTTTACTTTTGCGTGACTCCTCCCCTGTAATGTTTAGGGCACATAGATGAAGAGAAAATTGTTTGTATTTTAACGCATGAAAGTTATTAAGGCTCAATTTTCTAAACTGCAATTATAAGTCACGCTCAATAGAATATAATTGTTACTGATCCTGACATCATACACTTCATCTGAAGAAGAAAACATTCTCTATCTTCGAAAATTTGCTCAAAACATCCGGAACAACAACGAGGATCTCAGGCTGTTTAAAGATGCCACTGACTAACATGGGTGTTGATCGCCTTGCAAGTTGTGAGAGCATCATCCCCAGGTTTCAGACTTCGTCAATTGTTTCCCCCTCCCCAACTTCCGGACTGGGCTGGGTTGTTCAAAGCTGGGTTAAGATAACCAAGGGTTAGTGTGAACTCTGATTTCAGATCTGAAAGCTTTAAAAGAAATTCAATATAATTCTTTTTGTTAAGAATTTGACGATTGTATGCTCGATATAGAATAGAGGAAATGATCCCAAAAAGGCTTTCGAACAAAGGAGTAAAGAAATCCAGATTAAAATTTAACCCTGTGTTAGCACTAATCCGCCTCCGAACAACTGGGCCCTGGTCTCTAAATTTCCTTGAGGAAACTCTTCTACAATCAGTGCTGAAGAGTTTTATTACAGTTTTTATTCAGTATAATGAAGGGCTGGAAAATAACCTAACTAGAGCTCCGCTTTTAGGCTTGGCTAAATCTATATTATATAGATAGATAGCAGTTTTCAAGAAGATTGTGGACTCCTCGACGTGTGCGTGACCAGCGGCGTTCATGACGAAAGGTAAACCTTAAAAGACTTTCAGCTGTTATTCACTTTTAAACCTAAAATATTTAGATTACAGTGCAAAGAAGTTTTTGTGTTCAATATTGTTGACTCACTGAGAAGTAGAGGCAAAGTGAGTGGATAAAATCATTGTCCTTGTTTGTTTGTTTTCTGCTTTGTCTTTTTCTTCATTTTTCGCCACTGTGACCCACATACTTCTCGTTATATTTGATTAAGAAAGACGTATTCAAAGATTTCTTTTTAACTTCATCCGTGTGTAACACCAAAAGCAGCATATCAGAATGAAAAAGAAGAGACTTCTTTGTTACGCGAAATGTAGTCGGAAGTCGGGAGATCTTTTTCTTAGCACTTTCTAGGCATCTTTAGTGTGTACCGTTTAGTTCAAGACACTATGGCAAAACAAAGGCTTCCCGCTTGATCGCCTGATGTAAAAGCGAACCAAAAGTGATTTAATTTTTGTTCTAGTCTTTGGTTGAGTTCTCCAGATTAAAAAATAACTTCATTTAGACGCTTTTAGAAAGGATAAATGGCGGAACGATTGATTCTCCAATAGATGCAAATACCCGATTTCTAGCTCACCTGCAATTTCTATCGTCTTCAAACTAAACTTTTGAAGTCAAATTTCAAGTCAAAACGCTTCAGTAACTGCTTAATTTACCGTCTTAGCAGATTACTCTAAAGACCGAGTTCTCCGTTCTTCCCTCCTCGTTCATCGTTTATCGTTTTTAGTAACATCCCTCCAGAACATCACATTCTGTTCCATTGTTTAAGTTAGCATGCATGGTCATACCGATACTGATTTATAAATTACATGTCAAGCATACACATAGCATGTGCTACACTGTTAAGAATGAGAATTCAAGAATGATTTTTCATGATTTGAAAAAAGAAAAATCACCAGCACTCTTTGAGTTTAGTGAAGAGCATGTACGCGACCTCTCAATATCAATGAAATTAAGGGTTTGATCCTTTGAGCTTGGCGGGAGGTCCAATAATTCAGTGCGACATCGTTTAGTCGCATCGCTTTTTATGTTACGATTTTAGAACTAGCTGTCGTTTCAGCGAAGAATGTGGTGGAAGGAATAACCACTGTGTTTGACGAATGTATGGTGTTGATGACCAACAGACTCGGACCTCTGGTCAGAGAAAGCATCTCGCGGTGGAGGAAAATGAAAATTAAAGGAATATGTAGGAATATTGTATGTATAATGTCTACGTAAACTTTCTGCACACTTGACTACGTAACACAAGTGAAACAGAGTCATTTAATAAAAGGCACTGGTGTAGACTTTTTTGGGTTTGTAAAACTGATGATCAAAAACGAAATAATGAAATTCTCCTCAGAAATCGTTGTAGATAATCGGCCACAATTTTATGACGTTCTTTCTCGATAGAAAGCAGAATGAATTGTAAAGCGAAATCAGAGTAGACCTCAAATCAGTTTTGACTAAAAGGCCATTTGATAGTTTCTGTCTCTATGTAAAGCTGAATGCCAACCATTTGATAGCTGCAACGGTTACTAATTATTTTGTTAGTTGATTATGTCCTATCTCGAGAGAACCGCAATCTAAGTGACTCAAGACTATCAGCGTAAACCCCTATCGAAGTGCAAGAGAAGAGGATAGGGTTCTCGTTGTGATTGGATATTTTGAAAGAGAATATCAATTATTAACTGCTGAACACAGCTGTCAAGGTATGATTTAACCGACAGAAAGAACACTTATGATACTCCTACAAACCCAACTACCTTATCAAACAACGTGTAATATTCTTACCAAGGAGCGACTCCTCAAAAAAACAAAACAACGTTAGGGACTATTTCCAAACAGACCCTAAACTCTCCTTCATTTGAATGTTAAGACTATTCCTCAGGTATCCTCTACTCCAGACTGAAAGAGCGTTATTTTAATATTAGGTACTGTTTCTAGTACAATTATTTATATCAGCTGAGGAAAGAAGGGTTTTGACCAAAAGGTAACCTAGTTTATAATTATGTAAGATTGATGGACTCTTAACCTCTACTGAGAGTGACCGGAGAACATGGTCTCTTGGATGGAAGTCTCCTGAAACACGTACAAGCGATTTTTTGCACTTCCGGAAGCTCTGTTACTTTGGTTTGGTTTTGTCCTTCCTTCAAAGGAGAGATCTACAGAGATGGGTCTAGATATATTAGATCAATGTCGTGGAGAAAAATGTGAACTCGTGTACAGCATCATCATGCAGACAGAGTCAACTCAGAACTTTTCAACACTTTTATTATATAAAAAACATTAAAGTTATTACATTAGCAACGTATCCAAGAAAAAAAAGACTTCAACCCGTACCTACGACCAGTTTCGTTGAGTAATAGTATCTAGTACGCGAAAACTATCGGCCTATTAGGCCAAACAACAAACTTTCTTGCAGAAGTAATGTGCCAAGTATAATTTTGATTAGAATTCCGTATAAAAGCATTTCGAGTTGGTATCGCAAGTAAAGGCAGTCTTTGGGAAATCAATTTATGCGCACGATTAGCTTTCCTAAAAAAAAAGGTTTTGCGGCAAAAATTTTAAGCAATTTATTAAAATTGTACACAACTATGGCTTTCAGAGCGAGATCTCATCACCACCTCAGAATTGAGCCAGAAAATAAACTGAACTCAAACGCTTGTGTCGAGGCATATATGTAAATACTTAACATGTTAAAGAGAAAATGAGATTAAACTTTATCAGTAACCTTATAAAAGCGTTTCAGCGTTCAAGAATATGAAGTCAATTGAATTACAGTGTAACAGCCTAACTGGTAAACGCAACATGGCTATTTCTACCAAGTAAGCGTGAAAGGAAACGATGATTAATCCCTGAAACTTGTCAGGGCGAAGTGTTCAAACTGTCAGCCAGTCATACACTGTGGACGTGTATCTAACTACACCGTTCAATCCTCGACGTTTGCATACAATTGCTTGTCGTACATTTTCATGTCAATTAGCTTCTGCAGAGAAAAATAATATAATAATTAGCAACATTAAAAAAGTTTTAAGTGGTTATCCTCACAAGTGGCCAGGTTTTCACACCAAAAACAAATTCAAGGAGGAAGTATTTTATGGCGTCGTCGTCTGCTACTCTTTGTGCGTCTCAATGCAGTTTTGCAATCATCCTATGATCTTTTAAATAACCATAAGGTGTTTATTGTCATTGAGACATTCAATTGTCATTGAGACGCTATTTAAGCTCAATGCTGTTACTTTTAACCCTAATTAGCTGAGCCTTAGCCAGTCGGTCTTACGTGAAAAAAAAAAAACTTTCATATTGATAAAAATTCTGACCTTGTGTAGGGTTTCCATGTCCTTAAGCTGATTTTTCAATTCAGTGAAAGTTGGTCTTGAGTCTGGGTCATTCTTCCAGCATTTCATCATGATCTGATACCTGGTATTATTCAAATAATCTGTTAAAGAATTAAAGAATGTTTCCTTGTACGACGAGGGAGAACAAGTAAATGAAGTAAACTTACAATTTTTCATCGACGTGTTGTGGTTTAGGCATCCTGTATCCATCCTGGAGTAAGTTTGCAATTTTTCCTCCATCCATTCGTGGGTAAGGTGAACCGCCTGGAAGAACCACAAGACCATCGAAATATAAATGTGACAAAAAAACGACCTTCAATGAAACATCACCTTTGTCACTAGATGTAGTTTGAAGCTCATTACGTTTGTCTGACTGAACACGATACATTGTTTAATTAAACATGGTATAAAGCAAAAAACATCTACAGAGCCTCATAAAATTCCATTCGATGTTACCTATGGTGAAAATCTCGTATAATAGAACTCCATAACTCCATCTGCAGAAAGACAAATCAAACAAATATAAATTAAGTGACTATAGACATAAACAGTATATACGACGAATAAAATATATGTATTCTTTGACAAAGCATAGAATTCAAGTCCTAATTAAAATTGATACAATTTTTGATAAACTGCTACGGGTAATAATCAGGTATACTTACACGTCACTTTTGGTGGTATATTTACCATACAATAAGGCCTCATAAGCTGTCCACTTCACGGGAAGACGGCCCTAAAGATTTTAAATATCACTTTGTGAAACAGCTCGAGAATTATAGTAAGTGAGTAGTCAGAAATAGTGATATTTAAAATTGTACTCGTATACGCATGGCTGATAGTTTCATTAGGGTCCCAAGGAATTCATGATCGAAATCAGGAATATATCAGCTCAACCACAACAATGATGTCAAAGATCACTAAACTGAACGAAATGTGATACCGCCCTCACCTCCCCTTTTTCTTGATTACCTTTGTCTTTCGTTCATAAATATTTTCCTGCTGCACATCTCTGGCCATTCCGAAGTCTGTCACTTTACACATTTCCTTTTGTCCAACCAACACATTACGGGCCGCAAGGTCTCGGTGAATGATCTAAGAAAGAATTGATGTAACAGCAAAAATTAGTGATTGTAGATGAAAAAGAACTGAAATGAAATGGTTCAGAGGAAAATAGAAATATCTACAACATAATATGGTGTGCGTATTTCTTTTTCTTCCAGATGGCAGAAAGTTAAAACTACTACAATAACTGCTCCATATTCCAAAGAGAAGCAAACTACTTTTTTTTTGCAATACGTAGTCATTTCAAAGAACGCTTACCTTAACATTTTAATCGAAATAGGATTCTGTAATGAAGCAGTTTAGCGACCAAAGACGATTTTTTTAAGTTGAAGTTTTAATTCCTTTTCTTCCTTGTCAATAAAATGGATATTTGTTGTACACTCAGTTTAAGCTGAATATCTTAAAAGATCCTATTCCTTCACGTCTCTGCCTTTGCTCACACGAGAAAAACCCAGATATTTTATTTCGATGGGGTACACTTGCAATGATGCACAAATATCGCCATTCTCGCATTGAAATAAAACTTATATGATGACGTCAAAATCGGGAGGGTTCCTGGCCCTAAAGAAATAGCCTCGACAAGACGGTAAGAATACGTCTGCATCTCCCAGGCGTGATCATGTGAAGACATAATATTCCATGCCAGAGCTTAACATGACGATAGACCTTACGAGAAGGTTTTAGAATTGTTTGTCTTTTGTGTTTTTAACTAACTTACAGATTTTGCGGACAAGTAACTCATTCCATCAGCAATTTGCCAAGCAAACTTCATCAGCTGCTGTGACGTCAGATTTGTTTGTGGTTTGATATCCGGGTCTTTGTAGTAAGTGTCTTTTAATCCACGGCTCTTTCTCAGGTAACCCAGAAGATCCCCAAAAGGCACATATTCAATCAAAACCAACAGCTGTTCTGAAGAAATTAAATAATTTAATTGATATGTTACTTTCTTTTAAAAAAAAGCAGTAATTGAAATAGATGAATGGCCCAGTCATAGTGAACACTTTTGAAGAAATCGCATGAAAACAAGAAAAACTATGCGACGGTCTCATAAGAAAGTACAGACCAATTATTCCCTTACAAAAAGCGTTTCTGCTTCTATAACAGAATGATCTGCTCAGTGGCAAATATTCGGTCTTAGTCTATCAGTAAATCCAGGAACGTCTGTGTTGGCTAAAATAAGATAAAATTACCTTATGCGATGGTTGTTTGTTTTGCTCAATTACGAAGCGGTCACCCTTCCACTGAGGCAAATTATCAATGACGAGAAAGCGTTACAGAGTAAATCATAAGAAAAATGTGTACAGCAAAATTAGACCCGCATAACCAAAGCATACCAGATTCAGTAACACATCCCAGAAGTTTAATGACGTAAGGATGTGGTTTTAGCTGTTTCATTGTGTCAAGTTCTTTCATCAGATCTCTCTTGTCCGATTCAGAAGCGTTTGCTGGAGCATTAAAAACAAGGAGTAAAATTTGGTTAACGGGAATAATATGCGAAATGTCGGAATAACAACATAACTTATGAAATGGCAAATAGCTAAATAATTACAGTAACCCGGTAACATTTCCTGAATGTCTGTAGGCCAAGACTCATTCAATTTACAGTACAAGAGCTCACTTTTAAGCATCTTAATAGCCACTGTGGTCGTTTCAGGACTCCCTCGAAGTCCTACTGCTGTTCCCTTGGCAACCTGACCAAAAGCACCTTTACCAATGATTTTTTCTATGGTCACGTTATGTCTAGGAACTTCCCAGCAGCGTGTTAATGGATGAAGAGGCACGTAATCAGCACCTGGAGGGGTACTTTGTGCTTTTCTATCATCTTTGTTGACTTCTATGAGATCCATGTATTCCGCATGAGGCTGGGTGAGTTTTCTTAAATCAGGTAGACTTGGTTCGATATCTTCTAATAATGTTTCATTCTATTAAACCAACACACTGTTAAGGTTATTAATCCCAGTAAAAAGTACCTCATGGTTATAAAAATCAGTTCACCCATTTTTATCAGACAAATGTTTATATTCTTCCATGATAAGAGATTATAAATAGTTTATAATCTCTTGTCATTATTATTACTAACATTTTGTTCTCTGCTTTTGAAATTATCATGTCCAATAGAGTGATCGAGGCTCATAGCATATTCGTCGAAGCTACAAACTGCAACGTGAAGATTGTCGATTGGTAGTCCAATATTTTGACAAATAAACGCACGAAAAAACTCTTGCAGTACCAAGCTCCTAAACTCACGTTTAGAAAATAAGGCATCAAGAAAATACGACGCCCTAAATGCACGAAATCTATTATTTAGAAAGCAAATATCAACCGGGTGCAGACCAACTAGCGATCTGTGAAGTGAAACCAAGCGGTTGAACCAGGGACAATCGAAGGAAAATCCATGGAGTGGCTTGGTAAAGGACATGATCACAGGACAAAGACCTTATTGAGCCTAACTTCCTCTTTTATTTCATTGTATCTGCCACTGATGCAATATGCTTTTTTTTATGTAGAACTACAAATTTTTCCCTCTCATTTACTTACGTCGTAAACACGTCTCTCATCTTCATAAGTCCTACAATTGAGAAAGCATAGAAATAATTATAAAACGCTAAGAATTTCATCAGTTTTTATTGGAGTTTTGTGTTAAGATGAAACCATATCGGGCACATTACATCGACACAATCCAACTAGCAGAAAATTCTTACCTCTGTTTCCCTACAGTGCCTGAAAAAGAACAAAAGGAAAAATACAAATGATGTAAACGTGAGTAAAAATTTGCTTTTGCGTGAAAAAGAATCTTGCAACCAAACATAGATTATGATTCTTTTACCTACCTTTCTTATGTAGCCAGATTATGTAAATAATTAGAAGCAGGACTGTGAAGGCAAGAACCCCAATTACGGCCAACAAGACGTTGTTGGATGGGCAGTTACATTTCTCAGGACCTAAAATGATTCATTTCGCAAAGCTTGATGAAATAACATTCAAACAACATTTACACTGATCCTGGTCGATACACTGCTCTCACTACATAGCATAGGTTCGTGACCGGAAAACGTTAACTCTAATTGGCTTGGTACGAAGGAAGAGTAAGGTGCTACTCTCTCTAAATAATTTTTAAGAGTAAGACTTTGTTTAATTAAATAAAACAACAACGAAAAAAACAAAAACTTGGAAGTGTATCAGTCACAGAATAAGTTGTTTAATTAAATAGATACGGAATACAATTATAAAAAGTCCATCTTCGGAAGAATACGTGTAAACATTGAACAATGTCTTTGTAAAATTTACCTTTTGCTGTGCTTTCCGAGCCATCTGTGGGTAATAAAACTTGTTTAATTGAGTCTGGATTGACTTTAAAACCTCTGAATTTGTCTTGCCTTGCAGCATCCGACAGGAAAATCAGAACATTGCTGACGACTACAGTTTGATTGAACCTCATCATAAAGTCAAGAACAACACTGCCACACCTAGATAAGGGGAGGGAGAGAGAGAAAAAGAGTATCATCACACACGTTCGAACTTTGGTGATTTTTAAGTGTTAAAATATATTGAGATTTAACCAATGTATTAAACCAAGGTAAATAAAGACAATATCAAAGACAATATACTTCAAACATAAATTATCTTGTATTAAATAAGATTTGCTAGAGCAAAAAAAAACTTTTACAACTAAAATACAACACATTGAAATAAAGCTCCTTTCCCCTACTAGAAGGCAAATTTGAGTTTGCATTTGTTGTTTCAGCGTAGAACAACAAACTGTACCTTACCTGGTGTTCACAGTGTTTGCGGATGAGCAGCCAAACCTGAAGGCAATTTGACAGGCCTAAAAAGGACATATGAAGAAAAAACGTATATTCAAATGCTTGTCACATATTGAAGATCGTTCAGAATATCTTATTTTTTTAACAGAAATATTAAGATTTGATTCAAGAACAGATTGATTAAGATTCACTTTTCATGATAAATCTCATGGCAGTATTCCTTAAACTCCAGTATATGGATCAAGTAGATTATCTAACCATTTTTGGAAATTTAGCAGCAACTTCCGATCGTCTGCTACAGTTCTCCTGTATTGTCGCTGTCAGGTAAACTTCTGTGCTTACTGTTTGAACTGGGGAAAAACAAAATACGACTTAAAATGAACTTTTGTTTGTTTGTTTGCACAAGAATTATCATTTGAACTCATGTATAAAGCCTTTACTTAAAAAGAACACTGGCATAAAATGTACGAATGGGAGGCCAATTTGAGAGATATTGTTTTTCTTGTATTTTGTGTCACGATGGTGTCTTCAGAATCGTTCCCCTAGTCGTCTTCCTTTTCGCCGAAGTATAACTTTTTTAAATAACCGCAAATTATGAAATAGATGACATCGGTAGAGCCAGTCTTAACATTATACTGACCAAACAGTTGTCCGTTTTACGCAAAAATAATATACCAGTTTTTGGATCATTTTGAAGTTATTTAAATTTGTTAGAAGGACAGGTCTCATTGCGTGATTGTGCCGCTAATATGGACTCTATCTCTTTGTAATACATTTGCATGTCAAGGGTCGATTCCCTGTCACTATAAATAAGTCCCGTCTCGGAATGTAATTTCTGAATTCGATATTATTCACACAGCCATCGGCTGAGAGTGTAATTGCTGCCGTTCGTGAAGATCCTTAAGCAAGACTGCTGTTTCGATTCTTTCTGAATCTCTTTGGTTGCCTCCTAAGAACGAATTTGGTCGCGGAAGAATGACGAGAGCCCACAGGCCCTTCAACACTTTTTAACTTTCCTTTTTAACGAAGGAGCGGCAACAAACAGTGAATTCCCATTATATACATTTCTTGCTATTCTGTCTTCCATAAAAGATGTTCACTCGACTGCAACAGGATGCAAATGACTTAAGCCCCGTTCAAACGATCACGATCGTTGATGATAGACAACTGAACGATAGTTTCAACTTTCATTCACATCGCTGACTATCAAGTTTGTGTTCAAACGGTTCATGATAGTCGATGATAGTTGACAAAATACCACCCAATGAGATCGCGTAATTGTACACAAATATGGTGCACGCTGAGGTCAGCAATTTCAGTGACATTTGAAATTTTAGTCAAGAAGTTAATTACAAGTTAAAGATACTGAAGCCTACCAGGAAATGATGAGAATTAACTACGAGACATTCTGGGGAATTTCGACGGCTATTTTAGTCATTTTACCATTTGCCATCTCGGTTTGAGCCCGTTTTTGACAAAACTGCTGACCTAACCACTATCATTCACTATCTTCCTCTCGTTCAAACAGCAAAAACTATCATTAACTATCATGTCGAATTTGAACATGTCCAAACTACATGATATTTGATGAAATGCGATGATAGAGCATGATAGTTCGTGTTCAAACGCGCTTGATAGTTGAAACTATCGTCAACTATCCTGACCGTTTAAACGGGGCTTCAGTTTTTCTTTTTGCGATCATGATGAAAGGCAATCAGAGTGCGCACAGGTTCAGGATAAATAACGTTTTCTTCTTCAGATGTCGTGTATGATGTAGGCGTCGGTTGAAATGATATTTCATTTAGCGTTATTGTGAACTTTGGTTTGGGAAAATAAGTAAGAGTTTTAAAGAAACGACCGTAAGCAACTTCCAGTTAAGAGATTACCGGTCGATTAATAGGGTATAAGTGAGAACAATGAGTCAGTGAAACAATACAGAAACGTACGGGCTTCTCTTATGTCTTCTCTTTATGTCGCCAAGTATGACTGTTTACTCCACAGTTTTCTCTATTGTGTCAAACTCCTCCGATAATTGTATTAAATTAAAAAGAATAGTCACTTCAACCTGTTATTTTCTCAATTCTTCTCTTTTGATTATTCGTGTTTCATGATTGTCCTCATTAAACCAAATTTCAATGATCATGGCAAGTCTGGCCGCTGAAATATGAAATTTGTCTTGTATCTGTTTCATGCGCTGCTAAAGTTTGATTTAAACGAAGACAAGCTAGAGCTAGAATATCTCATCTCAATCTTGATAACGACAAGAGACTTTAGACTCGACTTCAAAGATGTTTGTAGAAAACTAGAAAGGCTTCATGTTGGTTAGAGGGTGTGAAGCAACGCAAGGAAAGAATTTGCAACCCGTGTTTTGAGCGGGAAATCATACTGGTGAGGTTGTTGTTGAAAAGTGATTCTTGGTATTTTGCAATCTCTAATGAACTTGCAAAGCAACGATACTCAGAGCTAAAGCTTTTCCAAACGGAAGAAATTACGACAGTTCAAGTTCATGGAGAAAGGATCTCGAGTGAAAATAGACTGGAAATAGAGAGAGAGAGAGCGACCTAAGAGAGAAAGAACTGAAAAGACGTGGAGCGAGTCGAGAAAAACGCAAAATGGGGTTTGATAGGGCGAAGAATAGGTAGAACACAGTGAGGGGAAGACGATAGAGAACAAGAAAAGGCTGAAGTAAAATGGCGAATATCTAGCGAAGACCAACGTGAGAAGGTTGCAAGAGCTCCAGAAAACAGACTAAAAAGAGGTCAACAACAAAGAGAAAGCGAACTACGCTTGTAGCGAAAACGAAAGTCCCCGAAAACTAGGACCTAAGACCTAAGGAAATGAAGACCCCTTCATGACCTTGAGACAGGAAGTTTGTGTCACGCTCTGTAGCTTCACCGAAGAAAATCTCTGAATAGATTGACAACCTCTCTGCGTGAGGCAGCGTGATCATACATTCTTAATTAAGCTAAAGCGAAATCGCCGACAACAGGCCACTTCCGAGTTCTTGCGGCTCAGTAATCTGGTGTCGAAATTACGGTGCGCAGAGGAAGCTAAGTGCGAAGTCGCTTTCATCGGTATGAAGAGTAAAGTGTGCAGTGGTGGTGAAAATGACAGGAGAGTTCTCGGAATTCAGTGTGGGAGTGTGAATTTTTTTTTTGCGGGAGAGAGGCACCAACTAACTGATGACGGCAAAGAAAAGAAAAAAGCGGTTAATTTAAATGTGAGAAGACAAAACGAAAGTGTTGCAGAATTCTCTTTCCAGATTCAGATCAGCATGTGTCAGTAAACCACTTAAAATATCTGTGTGTACCAGCCAATGACAGTTAACAGATATGCTATATATTTGCAGTTGGCATACAAATATCAACTGCGACGTAAGTAAAATTTTTCTCGTTGATTCAGGTTCTTGCAAGCGAAGAATTCACCCGTAAGAACCTCGATGTTGATGACACGGAGAGTGCTTGAAAACTAAGTAAAGAAAAGGATAAACCGTTGAAAGGGGAAAGTAAGATTCATTTGAACATACCTTCTTTTGCTTTGACTTGCTGGATATTTGCTTTCTCTTGTTTTAGGCTTTCACCAAGCTCATTAGTTGCAGTAATGGCAAACTGATACACCTTTCCTCTCTCCAACGTTATTTTCAATTCTCTCACAGAAACATCTCTGATTTTCTTTATTTCTGTCCACTGTCCAACTTTCCCATCAGTCACTACTCTTTGGTACACTGTATACATGGTAATAACTTTTCCATTACTTTCTGGCTCCTTCCACTTTAGGGTAATTGTATCTTCTGTTGTTTCATCTGGCAGTTCGTCTATTTCTACCACATCTGGGGCTCCTAGATTGATGTCAACAACACGAACAGCGTGAAATTTTCAATAATTATACAACTTCTTGTTACAAACCTGGTCACACCATTATCAATGATTAAATAATCTGTAAATTGGTCGAGGATTTTTTTGGGATATTTTTGAAACGATAGTGTATGGCAAGCAAAATTAAGTTAAGTATTGAGATGAAGCGATAATGAGAAGCCTAAAATGATGGTCGGTTATTGCCTAAAACAAATACTGCATTTACAAGGTGAATTTGAACGATACACTGACTTCTACTGGTATTTAATTGCTATTTACACGAGATCAAATGAAAGACCGATGCATAGATGACGTCGCAATTCGCTATTCGTTTGTGTCACCTAATTACAGAAAGGCTCTCAGTTCGTGTACAACTATATTCTGCTTTTCAAAGTTTGACATCGCGCATGACTTAGTACAGGCACTTTGCAATGACACAGCGCAAAAATGAGTGCGCATGCTCCGCTTCTCGAGCCATTTGAGCGTCCAGACCTACGATTCTTCTTCTGCAAACATAAGCTGGCGCGGGTTCTTCCGCCGAGACAACAAACTTTTTTTTCCAGGGGGGTTGCCAGTCGAGGCAATGACAAGAAGCGCTTAAGGGATAACAGGTGTGACGAACTTCATTGCCATGTTACGGCTGCTCAACTTCAGTTACTAAGTTCACACCTGTTCCCACAATACTTTTTTTGTTGAGTGAGATATGTGCCGGATGAGATTCGAAAGAAACTTTCTTGAAAACGGCAACCTTAACTGTTTTGGTTTGGGCTTATCCCTGCTAAATGAAAACAAGCTATTTCTCATCTTAAAGAAAATATATACGGAGGACTCTTCGAGGCCGTCCACACACTGTTTGACGAGATTTCCCCATAATATTAGCATGTTAAAAGCGATTTTCATGAAAGGCCCATTTCTTCCAACTTCAATTCTTTGGTCAAACGATGTGTGGAAATCGTCTCACGGCCTAAAGGGATAGTTGGACTTTTGAATATGGCCGGGAAGAGTTTAGGAAAAATGTATCCAACCGAAAGATCACTCTCTAGCGGCTGTTGTTGCTGATTCACATAACAGATTTTGAGACCTGAACATTAGAAAAAAAAAAAAAATAAAAAAAAAAACGACAAGGCAAACAATACTTGATAAATCAGGTAGCATTTACGGAACGTAACCGCGTAGGTTGTCTATTGTTCTCACCTAGGTTCATTACTTTTATTATGCTTCTTCAAACGCACGTACCTCTAAAACAATTATCACAAAGGGAAAGGAAACTGGCCACTAAGGAGGGGACAAACGCTGAAAATCCAAAATCTTATAATGCGGCAAGCAGATAACATTATTAAAAATGGGTTGCTCACAACAAATCTAAGTTAGGGAAAAAATGATTGGTGGAAAGTGCTCAGTCACGACATCACTTTTGATTCCTCACCTTCAAACTTGGTCTTAATGTTCCATACAGTAGGATCTCCCTCGAATACAACATTTCTGGAAAACAGTTTCACTGTGTAGTTGGTATCTTTCTCCAAACCACGAAACGAATAACTTGTCGTCCCAGGATCGGTGATATTAACCTTTTTTATTTCAGTTTCATCCTTTTGTAAGATCATTTGGAATCCTGTAATCGGACTTCCTCCATCATCAGCTGGTGCAGTCCATTGTATTATTATAGAAGTTGCTTGAATGACTGATTCTGATGAGTTGATAGATGCTTTCCCTGGTTTCTCTACATAGCGTCATAAGAAAAGAGATTATTTTGAGTTTTGTCACAACACTAAGGATGAATGCAAGTCCACTTCTTCTCACAGTTTGTTATTCAACTTTCATACAATCTTCGAATTTCGATTTTCTGATTAGATGATTTGTACCACGTGATACTGGGTTGTGACGAAACAACCTCCTTGATATCGTTATCGTGGTATAATAGCCGTGGTGTAAATTCAACACACCATTGTCATTGCACCATGGCTTAGTTTACCTTGTAGATAGTGGTTTCAATGCAGTGTTTCTTTGTGCAGTGTATTCAATTTGAATAATAAAAATGTTAACGTACTCATGGCTCGTGATTTATCATTATTTACCTGTACTCGTTCACAAACAATGAAATCGGAGTATTCAAAACCGCACGAGGCTTTGAAATTTCTCGTTCATTGTCAGTGAACTCGTGCAGGTAAATCCCCATAGTTCACTCGCTGAGTGCGTTAACCTGTAATTAATGAATGTAAATGTAGCTACCGGATAAATTCAGCCAAGGGTTAATAAAAAGAAGAACAATTGATAGTCCATGGTTGAGGAAGTTTCCTAAGGATACTCGAATGTGAAGATGTCATCAATCTGCCTGAAGTTTAATGCTCTTTTGTAACGTGTTTAATGCTACCAAAGGGCAAGGTGCTGTCAGTTTACTTTAAATTTTTTAAAACAAATATGGGTGCATTTTTCACTAAAAGATCGGGCTAACTATATCCAGCATAATTCCAGTAATATTCTGTCCTACCTCATTGGGGTAACGAAGGCGAAAAATATGTTGTAAAGAACTAAACGCCCGTTTATTAGCGTCTTTTGTTTTTGCCCTTTGGGATTTTTGTAGGTCTTGCGTGCAGAATGTATTTTAGCGTGTTAGTTGAGTAATTTATTGTAATATATTTGTTAGTATCTAAAGGACGTGTCAGCCTCTTCGGGTCAGTTTTTTTTCGCTTGCCATTTCCAAGCGGTCACTTTTCGCCCTACGGCAGCCAGATTTCACATTACAGTTCGTCGCCGCTCCAGTGCAGTTTTTTCCCCAGCTCCTAACAAATGTAAGTGTTGCTTTAGTCCATCTTTCCGTTGCGTTTCAGTTCACTTTGTAACGTTCTTTTCTTTGTTTGTATTTTAGTTTTAACCGCTTTGAACAACCGCAACTACAACTGCGTTTCTTAAATAAAGCGCGTTAATATAATGCTGGAGTGTTTGGAGTGTTTAGTCTACTGTTGGAAGTTATACATGTGAAGGTCTAATGCTGCTTAAGAGGGAAAAAATGCAAATGGAACGCTCAGATAAGACCGTAAGATGTATGTCGAGAACTAAGCGGACAAATTTTTAGTAAATGAAAGAATGATAAATCCCTTACTAGATGGTTTAACATAAGCTTATATTTAACATCAAATGTTAAACTATCCAATGAGATGTACAAAGTGAATAAGTTACTCTGTCCAATACTTTGTAAGAAAATTTGGCTTTTACTTCTACTGCAACTGAAACTGTGATAATGAGCAAAGGCAAAAGAAAATGCTGACTTCATATATAGTTTTCTTTTAAATAAAAATACACGGATCTCAATGGCTTACTTATCTGACTTATCTTTATCAATTTCTCATCAGATGGAATAAGTCCATTGGCAGCAATGCACTTGTAATGACCAAAATCTTGATCACCCCTGAGTGGCACTTGTACTTTGTTTTCTCTGGCTGTGACTCTGTTTATTTCACTTCCTTCAGGTTTGTACCAAGAGACTGTTGGTGTAGGAACACCATCAGAAAGACACTTCAAAGTTACTGTCTGGCCAATCCAAGACTTCTTAGATGACGTGGTGACATTTTGAATTGTGGGTGGGTCTAAGAATAAATGCCAAGGCAATAAGCAATGGAATAAATAATCAGCGACACTTCACATCAATCAGAACAGTTATGAGCTTTCTCATTCCAATGCTGTGTCATTTTACCAAATAAAGTAATGAAACCGGCAAAATTGCCACATTATTGTTTCTTTAGAGGGCACGGTAACGAATCTTGCAATCTGATTGGTTCTTTACCCGGTCAGTATTTTCCTATCTCTGCCCACGGGCCACGGTAACGCTTTCGTGAGTCGCCGAGTACATCCCAACTTTCGTTGTCATTTTTCATAAATATACCTCGTTTTCCAGCTGGGCAGTATTTTTAAGCAAACACGTCGGTCACTACCTCAAGCCGATAAATAACTTATGAATCCTCCCTTTCCTCTCTATCAAATCACTTTGGTTGACAGAAAAATATTGGTTTCAGAATGAATTTGTATAAACAATAGTGTCATTACGTTGGTTGACGAGCGGCCTAAAAACCGTCTGCAATTAATTTTAATTGTTCACAAAAAGTACCCAGAAAGTTGAAACGTGAGGTATTTGGTTACAGTTAAACTGAACGATGGAACTTTCATTCATTTAATATCTTAATTTTCTCGAGCAATTTGTTCATAGTAAAAAAAAAGCGAGCGAAGTTTTAATTTAAGTTCTACAACAAATATACGCTCCTGGTGAGTCTTTCCAATTCCGTTCAATTTGGACATTTGTACCTTAAATTGCACAACAGAAATTGAAGGAATTGAGAAAAGGCTGCATTAAATTCCCTTGTGTCTCGTTGGAGTGTGCCGTTCGAATTTAGTTGTTGTGAAGGAAAGATCAGAGTTAAACACGCCATTACAGCAAACAAACGAGCAAACTCTCACAACTTCAAAATAAAAAATTGAATTTACTCACAATTACTTTCCTCGCCGTTTACTTAAAGAACAGAGGTAAATCTTCGTACATGAATGAATGGTCGATGAGAGTAAATAATACTTTCCGTTAGATCATTAACTGATTTTTAAGAAAACATTGTCGTGAGAGTCCTTGCCAAACTAGTTCTGTTGGTTTTCAAATGTTCCTACGATTTTTTTTTTCTTGCGCGCTCTCTAATTGACAGGTGTCAGATTGTGACAGATACTTGTAAAAATAATGTTTCAAAGTTTGTTTGGAAACCTTTTAAATCACCTTTATCGTTACGGAAATGAAAATGTTTCGCTGAGGCATCTCTCTTAAATTTGCATCACCTCTATTTTAACTACCATTTACTCACTCAAAAATTGTTCAGTTTATGGAAGATCTTGCCGTATTTACGGCCATAAGTCATTCGGGTTCTTTCGGAAAGAATTTCGTCAAGTTTAAAAACAATAAATATGTTATTTACCGGCTAAGGGTCGGTCCGTATGGTGTGACTGTGACCTCGGTCTTGAAAAGGCTGTATTTTCAAGACCTCGGTCACAGTTTTTCACCATACGGACCTCCCAGCCGGCAAATAACATATATGTATTACACTTTAAAACAAGCTAAAAATACGTAGGAAAATATTGGCCGCCCTGAACGATTCAAACTTTAATTTTTTTGTTTATTATTATTATTTTTTAATTTGACTGTTTAAGTAGCGAACTTTTAAGCAAGAAAGAACACCTTCTACGACCGATACGATACACAGATAAGGCCGTAGGATGTAATTCGCATACTAAAATTAAAACACTGATAACTGAAAATAATAGTGGAATAATAAATCCATTAATCGAGAGTTTAACATCTGATATGAGCGGAAATTTTGCTGATTGCTCATATTTTCTCTCGCCTCTTCAGGGCTCGGAAAAAAAATTAATTCGCAACGAGAATAAGGTGTATTTATTTTTTTCTTAGAGGGCACGCCAACAAATCCTACAATCTGATGGTTTTCTTAGCGCGGTCCGTATTTTCCTATCTCTGCCTAAGGGCATAGCAACACTTATCGTGAGATGCAGAGTCATCCGTACCTTCGTTGCCATTCTTTTTAAAAAATTTCGTTTGGCTAGCTGGGCATTATTTTTAAGCAAAGACGGGGGTGACGACCTAAAGCCGATAAAGAACTTTTTAATCCTCTCTCTCTCTTTCTCTCTCTAATCCCTTTAAATGCCAGCAAAATATTGGTTTAGAGATGAATTTTTGGTAGAAAAATTGCGTCTTTAAATGCGGTCTAAAAACCGTTTGTAATTAATTTTAATCCTTCACAAAAAGTTAAAACGTGAGGTATTTGTTTATTATTGAATTAATCAACGGGACTTGCACTGATTCAATAGCGGAGCGCGGAGAGCACGCAGCGTAGACCATACTTATTGAAAAAATAATAGTTGCAACAGTAACCCATCAAGTCGGAAAAATTTGATCGTACGACCAAAATGAGGGTTTTCCAATACACCCAAACCGCTACGATTCGTCAAAGGCAGTTTGTGAATCGTTTTACCGGAAGTCGATTCGCGGTTAATGCGTCCCGTTATACTGGAAATCTGATAAACCATCTCTCATTAGATGGAAACGCATCCCGGAAGTCAATTTGCAAGACACTTAGAAAATATTTCGCAAGTAACTGTCAAGGATTGTTGAAAACGTTGTCGAATCAAATGACTCGTTTCAGTAAAAGTCGACCTGTCTTACCAGAAGTCGATTTGGAAGACACTTAAAAAATATTCCGCAAGTAACTGCCAAGGGTCGTTGAGACTGTTGTCGAATCAACTCGATTCGACTTGAATCGAACGACTCGTTTCAGTTGATGTCGACTCGTCACACCGGAAGTCGATTTGCAAGACAACTTAGAAAATATTCCGCGAGTAACTACGAAGGGGCACTAAAGATGATGTCGAATCGAACAACTCGTCACAGTTGATGTCGACCTGTCATACCGGAAGACGATTTGCAAGACACTTTTCCGCAAAGTGGCCGCGAAAGGGGGTTGCAGATTTTGTCCAATCGACTCGACTCGAACGACTCGTCAGAGTTGACTGGTAACTCACTCATTAATTATCTCACAGAGCGGGACGGCATAGTGCTTGCAGGTTACACAACCTTCCAAACCAAAGAACCATGGACATCAATTGCACGGGCGCAGCACTTGCCTTTCCTTTCACTGTCTTCAGATGAAAAAAAAGAGCGAAGGTTGTGATCACTCCATAGCACAGTCCGTCAATTTTGTGTTATTTGGCTTATTTAGTATAAGGTGACACGGCTTACGAGTAATTAAATTTAAAATAGATTCTCGTCCTCAAATAGTATATCTCTACGAGCGCCACATATGCAAATATGTGCACAAACCTTGGGCATGTAGTTTTAATTTCAGCCCATTTTGACATTAACCACCTGATCTCAGCTATCAGTAAAAAAAGTGTAATTTCTCAGCTGACAGTGAGGATCTTGACCAGTCCTCGGATTTCCATGAAGCCCCAACCAGAGCCCTCCCACAGAATCAGAATATATGCTAGACTTGTGCACTAGTCAAACGGAGAGAATTTTGGGTTTTCACAATGACTCACAAATGGCTTTAAGCCATTTTCTGAGTTAAACACAGTCCAACTGAAGCAATGACTTGGTGAGAAAATTGTCACGCCCTCCAAAGCAAAATAATGTGAAAAATTATTCCACCTATATTCAATTGTCTCAACCAATACTTGAGACTGATGCACACAAAGCTGAAAAGGATTTGAGGTGGAATTCTGTTTCCTTACACTTTTGTAGAGATTCATCAGTTTTGTGTAACTAACCCCAATACAGGATTCATACCATAAATAAAGTAAATTCAGAAATAAAAATTAAGGTTAAAATATACTTACAGTGAACTACAATTGTTGTGTCAGTGGAAGTGACTTCCACTGAGTTATTGGCTTGACATGTATATTGTCCTGCATCTGTTCTGTTTATATTATCAAACTTTAAAAACGCAGCTTTCTTCCCTGAACTTTCCAGTTCTCCATTTCTAATCCATGCTACATCTGGCAGTGGTTTCCCAGAAGCTTTACAAGCCATGGTGACAGGGGATCCTTCAGTGTAATATTTCACTTCTGAAGAGAGGTTTATAAGTGGTGCCTCTGAAAGTTGAAAGAGATTATATCTCACCTCAGGACAAGTAAAATTTGCCATATGCCATATAAGGCTCATATGGCATATAGCAAATTTTACATAGATTGAGTTTTAAAATGTTCCCAATTACAATAAAATACACAAAAGTATCCAGCCATTGGTCCCCCACAACCAACTAGTATAAAGAGGCTCAAACTTTATTCAGAACAATTAAGCTTCCTCACAAGCTAAATCGTAAAGCAGGGCCCCATTCCCTTTGACAAGTCCCTTTAAAAGACTTGAAAAGCAATGCCATTTTTTTCACACCAAATAGTCCATTTTACAGTTGTGTGCTTGGTTGCCAAGCCTTTGAACAGGAATGAGGCTAAAGGTGACCCTGTCATGATACAAACCTTGCTACTTTTCAAATGCAAATTACTTTGTTATCATGCTAACAAGATACTGGTCTCTATCACAACAAGGTCACCTTCAGCCTCACTCCAAATCAAAGGCTTGGCAACTAAGTACACAACTGTAAAATGGCCTATTAATTTCACATACTGCCTGTGACTGGTCATGCAATATTCTCCTTCCCTGATTTAGCAAAATCATAGAACCAGCCGGATTGTTTCTAGTTCTGACTAACCATTTTAAATTGACATCTTTGCCATGATAAAATCTCAGTATTCATATTAATAATAGTTCTCTATGCATAACAGAGCAACCCAGTAGTTGGTGCCAGAAGAATAAAGCAATTACTCTTTGAATTCTCACTGATGAGAAACAACATAGTACAGGTAGAATTTACTTTCTCCTTTTGTTTGTAGGAGTGTATCACTATTGTTCCCAAAAGTTGGGTTAGCTAGCCACTTTCAGCCCTGCATATAAAAGTTTTGCACAAATTTATGCTATTATTTACTTTCTCCAGATCTCAGAAATATGACAGACATGAATTAAATGCATTGGATTTTTGTTCGATTATTAATGGCTATGTCTGTAATACAAACCTGCCACAATAAGCTGAACTTTACTTGCAATGTTCCCTTCTTCCCGTATTGAACATTCAAATTCGGTATTGTCTCCAGGGTTGATGTTATTGATAACCAGTGTAGCTCTTCCTTCAATTTTAACTCTTCCTTTGTAAGATGGAGGAATGTTAGGATGTTCTTGGACACCACGACTGTCATTAACCATCATTCTGACAAATGTACCATCTACCAGAACACTATAGATAATGTACTGAATCTTATTTTGTGTATCAGTGTAGTCCCACACCAGGTTGGCATCACTGCCATTGTTGAAGTAGCTTGGATTAGAAGGTTCCTTGATGAAACGCACATCCACACCCCCTAAAATAGACAACCATAAACATAATATTCTCAGCCCTTTAGTTACATGTGTAAGGATAATATTTAGGAAGAAGGGCTTAAATAGAGTCCACCACAGAGGCACTTTTAGCATAAGCTGTAACCACAATAAGTGTAAATATGCACTACATTGGTATTTGCTGATATCAATCAGCTCGAAATATACTTTCATTTACACAAAAATAAGATTCAACAACAGTAATGTGCAACTATTTGTGCCTTTTGACAATCATTTTTGACAGTTCCACTTTCTTTAGTTTCCAAACTGTGTACAGTGGTGAATTTCCAAACTTTAAAAGTCAGTGATATGCTTGAAGAAATTTTTTGAAGAAGAACTTATCAAGGCGGAAAATGGAAAGTAGAAGTGTTCACACATATCATATGTATGTTAAACCATTGAATGAGGGATTTATTATTCCACTCATTTCATTTTCTAGTCTTTTGACTTCTATTTTTTGAAAAGTTGTATGGTCATATCTAAGCATCCTGCCTATCAAATATGATGTACATGAAAGAAGAAAACAACAGAAATTAAAGAAACCATTTAAGTGTTCTTGATGACCAGAACAAAATTATTATTGGCTTTAAAGTTCACTGCTGAAAAAATCATGCCTAAAAATTGAGAAAAAAATCAAAGATCACATGCATCTCTTCTGTCCCTATTTCTGCCCTGTTCTACAGCGTATATAACAAGGTAAAATAACATATAATAATAAATATAAGAATCAAGAAATATTTGCTTAAGATGAAGTGAATATTATTTATTGATCTTCCCTTTACCTTCAACAAATAATTGTTTAAGTATACAGTAATTGCTCAGGTGCTTTCAAATTCTGTTATAAATTCTGTAAATAAAGAAAGCATTGTCCAGATTTTGTTACAATTGTGTTCATTACCTGTATCAAGATGAGCCAACAGTTTTAAGAGGCTTTTTGAATTCAATCAGCAAAAAACTTCATCCCTTTCTTTAATAAAGTGATCTGCTAATCATTTAATATCTTTTGTGCTTTTCACAGTTTAATTTTCTACTTTTGCTTTTATTACTTCCCAACAAACATTTGACAAAATGCAAGGCAGCCATTTTGAAATTTAGTGCTCTTGCTACAATCACCTGTACATAGTGATTATCACAAGATATGATGCAATCCTTGACAAATAAGAGCATGTGTGTGTCTTTAATCACCTGAGCAATTATATACTAATGGTATTTAATCATTGAAATCATCACATAACACAAGTTAAAACAACAACGACAGCAAAAACAACAATGCAATGATCAATCGTGTCACGTGTGCATGATTATCTGGAAACTTCAGCACATAAAGCTGACATAAAAAAAATTCCAAAGGAATCAACCACAATTTTCTATTTTCTAGCACCTTGGCCATAGAAAGGATGTCAACAATGTTCAAAACTGTTTTGAAATCACACAGCTGCTCCTCCTACGGCTTTAAATATCTTTGACCTCATTTCTATGATCGATGAGGTTTTATATAATAAGCTGAATTCTACATGCATTTTGATTGGTTCTCTCATGTACTTATGATCTATTGGAGGACAAAGACATAGGCAATGTCACCATCAACAATTTTTGCTTCTTCGTTACATAAAACAAATACATTCCATGTTGCTGTATAGCTCTGTACAGTTATTAATCACAGAGGATGTCAGAACATGCTAAAAACATCAGTGACACACTCATCTGTGCCTAGCTTGTTTTAGGCTTTCAGTTAGTATAACATAACACAATACTGAACATTGCTGTCATTTCCCTTGCTTTTTCACTCCTCTGCTACTCTTGGATCTAGTTTGCTCCATTTTTATAATTGAATGCCTGGAACAAGCTTAGCTGCATTTTATATATGTGCCACTTTTTTTTACTTACCATATTTTGACATCACATGTGATCTATTACTGAACAGATTCAGAACAACATGGAATCTATTTTTTAAATAGACAATGGAAAATTATGGTGTATTTGTTTCAGTGCTTTTGTATAAATTGATTGCCAAGCTCACTGGTGGTTAACAAAATGACTTCCTGCTTTGCTGTGGTAAACTATGAGAAAAAAATTTCCATAAACAAAGCAGCTTTCACAAAAAATAAAAACCAGAGTTCCAAAAATGATTGTAAATATGGTTGGGAAATGTAGGAAATATAGATGGTTCATATCTATGAGTGCATGTGATTTATATTCACAAGATGTGAAGATTAAAACAATGAGTGTGGAACAGGCAAGTTTTTGTCTATAAAAATCATACAAACTTTAAGTAATGTAAAGAATTGCGGGTAATGTGTGTTTTATATGCAGAAAATGGAGCAACATTCATGGTTACTGCTAGGAACAAAGTAAGGACAAAAATAAGGAATAAATGAAATAATAGAAAAGCATTTGTTAATACCATGGGAGTTAAAGTACCAATTTGAAACGTAAATTTTTGCTCATTTGCATAAGCACAAATGAAATGGCAAAGGTGGACTGTCATGCTTTCTTATCAGAGTCAGAATCTAGAAATTTAAGTCTTTTGTACCATTTTGAAGGAGAACACTCTTTAGTTCCAAGGATTGTGAATGTCAGGAATTGACCAAAGCAAAGATTTTGACAAAGATTGTGACCAGTTTGTATGAGGTGAAATCAGAGTGATCTTCACCAATTTTCATGAAATCCAGCTTTCTATGACACTATCTCCATTAATTAATTTTACTTGTTTAACACCAACAACTGACTTCTTGTTTTTGACCCTGAAGTCATGATTCTATAGTTGTATGCAACCAGCAAACATTGCTGACTTTCACTTTCATTCACTTTGGCAAGCCACCACACCACAAAGGCAAAAAAAACCCCATGTTATTGTTTATACTGGTTAAAAATTTCACCTCCAACTTGTGATTGGTCAGATGCTCATTTCTCACTAGCGAGGAAAACCATCCAACCTATCAGAATTTATGCAGTCTATTACAAGTCAATATTTTTTTTCAAATTTAGCTTGGAGTAAATCACAGTATGTATATTATAAGCCCAAATGTATACACACACATTTCAAAAACTTTGGTCCAGGTAAAACTTTACCTTTTTCTAAATATACAACAAAAATAAGTAGCCCAAGACTACCAGTGTGGGATACCACAACCATATGTGCATAAAGCTAAAAACTGGTCAAGTCAGTAGACAAATCAAACATGTAGGTAATTGAGCAAATAATGCTCAATTATCCATCCAAGTGCATTATGTAGTTTCTTTACATGATTGCTCTCTAGAGAAAAAATCACACTCAACTTAGCTTAAAGCAATTATCCTTGCTGAGGTAATTCTTTGAACCAATAATGAGTGGAAAAATTGTTACCAACTCCTGCCAATGATGAGAGATGGATGGTAAGGAAGAAACTTTAGGTACAGATGGCAACTCTTTCCTGGGTTTGCATAGCCATCATGTTTGTAATGGAGAGCCACCTGCTGACAAAGCAGTAACTTTCCTCATGGCTAAGAATACGACTCACATTAATCTCTAGGAAAATAGTGCACTTCTCAGTTTCAATTTGATGTTAAATTCTGAACGTATGGTATTGTTACACTTGAAGCATAAAATTCTTTGCTCTTGATTTCTATCGCATCATAGTTATTCAGACTTCATTCATCACGGGATTGAAATCCCAACAACATATCTTAAATTTGAAATACAAAAACTGCTGAAAGCCACCTTGGAGTTCGGAAATCATTTTAAAAAACATTACGATCAGAAATAAAAGGTCGGCGTCTTTGGTGTCTAAGCTTAAAATGGCACACGGTAAAAAACACAGTAAAATCCTTTGTGCGGAGAAAAAATTTCACAGTTACCTGATCCGTGAAACTTTACCAGCAGAAGAAAGAGTAAGTTCATTTCATAACCCCGGAAAGACACCATCTTATCAGACTTTCGCTGATGCTTCAATGAGGAAGGTTGTCCCTAAATCTTACAGAAGTCCCTTAAAGGGATAGGAGAAAGGGCCCTCTTCGTTTTGAGACTGGGACCGAGTGTCACGATCACCCTCGTGAACTTGTCGGCCGTAGTCGGCAAAATTGCTCAGACAACATGGTGGATGGTGCAATTTATGGAAGAAAACTCGATCTAACCAATACACTTGGGACATTTACATTTGCATGAATCGTAAAAACTTTCCTTGTGGAGAAACGTTCTTTTCAGAATAAACTATGCGTGAAACTTGCGAACGTGTAGAATGAGCGTGACTCGATGGCACCCATATCAATCACGCGCGCGTATAATAACTTGTAACAGACAGCTCCTCAACTCCTCTTTCCTGTTTATCAACAGTGGATTCTTTTCCAAGGGCCACTACATATAATCAAGGTCGGGTTCCGCTGATCTATCTCTGTGGGGCCGTATTCCTGGGGCCGGAAACGGAAGTCAAGCGGATCACAAGCGAGATAATTACGCAATCCAGACGCGCAAACTGAGTCAGTACATAGCAAGAAGTGCGGGGAAAATCAAATCGAATCAATTTTTAGAGAGTAATTTTCCTCAAGATTACCTCTATCTTGGTATCAGCTTCGTGTATCTTCGAACCATGTCATCTCTAAGACTTTCAGTCTTGTGCCCGAAGTAAATCCGCCGAGAAGCTTTTGCACGAACACAAAATAGAAACGACAACCAGCTTTGTTGTGTATTACAGCTACGGTGTTGGTAAAGGTTAGTCTAAAGTCAGAGGGGCGCCTCATATGAACTCTGGTTACGAGAGGGAATGTTAAGTGGAGGGATGCAGGGTTGTAAGGGTTATGGAGAGACCAAGAGGGGAGGGGGGATCCAAAGATTTTCTACTAAAGGAATTTAAAAAAACTGCAAATAAAATCTACTTTTTATTTTGATTTTTAGAGACAGGTGTGTAATCCACTTACTTTCTTTTTGTTGTTGTTGTAGTTTTTTTTTTCGCAAAAATTGAAAAAAATGGAATAAAATAAAACATAAAAGCACTATTGAACTTTAATAGCTTCAATGCGGTGGTTAGCCCGAAATTGTATGTGGTTTTCGATATCCTATTTCAGATCTGATCCAAAAGACGATACCTACAGCACATGCCTCCCGCACAAACTTATTAACTGGCTGACTACCGGACTGAATATGAATGACTGAATGAATAAATGTCTCTTCAATGCCCTTTTGATTTGTCACAGAGGTA